AGAAAAACAGAAGATGAAAAACAATTGGAGGAAATGAAAAATATAAATAAGATGCCACTTTACAAAACTCAGAACGGCAAAAATTATAGTACTGACAAGGATGTGAGGAAACAAGTAATGCTGGTGGGAGTATAAATTCATATAGCCACTGTGAAAAGCCCCATAGCAAAATTTAGTGAAATTGGACTAGAGAAATCCTTCTATGCACTAAAAGGGAATAAAAAAGATATGGTAGATACACATTGAAAACTGAATATACGGATGACAGATAGATCTTCACAATAGAGAATGGAGAGTAAACAAGGTGGAACATTAGAGGTAGTATATCCTCCACACCAGCAGTTTTCTAACTTTTGATCTCTTTACACTTTCACATTTTTAAAAAACTACTTAAGGCCCGAGAGCACTTTTATGAGGACTGTATTGAATAATACTTATCATGCAGCTGAAAACAAAAACTACTCTGTATACTTGTGACAATGACAAACAGCAAATAGGGCTACTATGAAAAGCTTTGATCTCATGTACTCCAGAGGCATTGATGAGCTGTCCTATACTGATCTAGAGAGATTAACTTCCTTTCCCTGCCTATGCTTAAGTCAATTTGAAACCTATTTTATTGTATATCTGATATTATTGTAATTCTGTTTCCCGATTTTGTAGACAAGGGAACTACAGCTCAGAGATTGACTGATTCCCCAAAGGTCACACAGTTAACAGAATGTCTTTGATCCCAGAAACAATTCTAAAGCTCACTCTTTCAATCACTTTCTACTTTTAAGGGTGGGTGAGTGGTTAGTATACGTCTCCTGCAAGCTAGGTGTATTATTTTGGCACCAGGGATCAAACCCAAGTGTGCTTAACTACTGAGTCACATCCTCAGTCTTTTTAATCTTACTTTTAGATGAGGTCCCACTAGGTTATTTATAGCCTTGCTAAATTGCTGAGGCTGGTTTCAAAACTGGAATCCTCCCTCAGCCTTCCTAGCCTCTGGGCTTACAGACATGCACCATGGTACCTGGCCAGCTAAGCAGGCAACACTCTGCCACTGAGCTATTTCCAAAAGAAATCACAAAATTGCCTCTTGGGATTTATACTTCTGATTTGTAAGATCTTGTGTCTATAAACATGAAAGATCAGTTAAAGACAGATGTGAGATCTACAAAGAACATAACTTGTGTTATGTGCAATTAAATTTCTTTTTTCCCCCATTTAAAATGACCCCAAAACACAGGTTTGACTCTTCTACAAAAGCCTTCATTGATATTTAAACACTTCCTTCTTAGGTCAGACACTTGCTTAAATAAAGCAGGGTCTCATCACTCCACTAAAGAAATGCACAAAAAATAGAGTGCATTTGCACATCCTCTTATTTGACATGGAAAAAATAAAAAACCTGAAATGAAGCTCATTATCAGCTTCATTATAAATATAAGGAAAATGACTTAGACTGTTAACATTGAACAGAGCAATAACTGAAACTCAGGTTTCGAAACACCAAACCTGATTATTTCCCTATTACTTGCCATAAAAGGTGATTGAGTCTTTCCTCCCCCAAAAGTTCGAGGTGAATGTCAAAATCTTCCTAACTCACCCTACTACACTTACTCTCCTCAGTTGATATGTTCAAGGCAAACCTTTTTGGGGTCCTACAAGCCAAGAAGATGCTTCACAATTGCAGTATTTACAAAAGAAATGGTGACTAGGACAAAAGAGGATCCTTTTCCTTTCAGAAAAATAACTCACATCTTTGCTCAAGGAATGAAGAACATCTGGCRTTTGGACAGTAATACTAAAATGTTTTTATGGTTTGAAATGTTGCTTTTCTGCTTGAGTACTATTTCTTTGGTAGTTTACTTATTATCAGATTATTCTTAATAACATACATAGAAGTAGTGATACTTTTAATTTGTTGAGCATTGAATGGCAGACATTGCATTAACTTGTATCATTTACTCCTGTCCTGAATTCAGGCAAGCTTTATTATCAAATTTAATGTCTTTTTGTTAATGATCTCACTTCAACCCCACATTCTCATTTTACAGAACTGCCAGCCAGAGTCAGGACTTAACCACTACTCCGTATTATGAAATGTTTACAAAAACTTTTAAGCACCTTTGACAGCCAGAAAAGCACTTCGAACTATTAAGAAAAGGATGCATGTTGCAAGCAAGGTGGTCAGAGGTGACTTTGTGTAAAGGAAATGGTTCAAAAGCTAGTTCYTGACAACAGCAGYCCTAATTCTAAAAGCATAGGCTAACTCTTCAGTGACATCAGCTACCTGCTTGAAATTTATCCAGTTTCCACTGGTCCTCAGTTACAACTCTGCTTTGCCCAAAGTACAGCTATCTAAGAATAGTATATTTTGGGGGTGGGGATGTGGCTCAAGTGGAAGCGCTCACCTGGCATGCATGAGGCACAGGGTTCAATCCTCACCACCACATAAAAGTAAAAAATATTCTGTCCACCTAAAGCATATGGTAGGCTGTTTCTAGCACACTTCATAGGGTTGGGCCCATCACTTTACCTCCTAGTGTCCAACAAATCTTGAGGTCTTGTACATCTGAAATTGTCTTTACTACCCTTGCATTTAAATACTATAGTTGGATAGAAAATAATTTGTAATTTCTTTCCTTCAACCCAACTGTAGACTTTAATGTCTAGTTTACTGCTAAAGCAAAAACCGTTTGACTTTTTATAATTTTGAAGAGATTCTTTGCCCTTTATACACATTCAGGTTATAAAGTTTTCCTTTAAAATTTTCCATTTAGCACTTGACAAACTAATCCAATTGGAGGTTTTTAATCTTTATTATTAGGAAATAGGAGTATTTTTTAAATCCAGTGTATTGATTGACTGCTTTAATTTATTCCTGCTCTGTCTTCCCCATATTCTCTTACATAAAGGTACCAAGACAGAAAAAATGCCCAATCTTGTCATTATGAAAGCACAGCTGGACTGGCAGGTAAAGTATCATTCATGACAAAGAACAGGAAATTTTATTTTGGTGTGAAATGTGAGCTGGATAGCAACAAACAAACCATGCAAGTATCTGAATGAGGAACAAAAGTAATGGTGAAGTACATTGGATTTACCAGTGGTATATTTTATGACCATCTTGGGATTGCAGGCACATGTCCTGTTTGTTGAGACCTGAACTTTCTCAACTYCCCCAACATTAACTTCTCTTGTCCCAAGTAGTATGACATTCTGGTACCACTTCTCTCTTGTACTGTAGTACTAGAGCTAAAGGGAATCAAAGAAAGATGGAGAAACAAGCAGGTCCACAGACATAGGAAAAAGCAAACCCTGCTATCCATGGAAACTCTAGACATATGTAAGAATTTGAGTTTTGAACTGGTGGTGCATGCCTGTAATCCCAGTGGCTCAGGAAGCAGAGGCAAGAGGATAGCAAGTTCAAAGACAGCCTCAGCAACTTAGTGAGACTGTTTTGAAATAAAATAGAAATAAAATAAAAAGGGTTAGGGATGTTGCTCAGTGGTCAAGTGCCCATGGGTTAAATTTCTAATACCAATAAAATAAAATGAGTTTGCAGAGGTAGCTGGAAACATCAAGATCAATTCCTACAGCATGGTGGAGATGAAAATCCAAACAAAATGGGGTGACAGGAGTGGTAGAGACAAACGAAAAACAATGATATAGACAAATTTTTAAAGTGATTTTGCCATAAAAGGAAAGAAAAAAGGTTTTTCAGTTGGCTCTGGCTAGGACAACATATTGACAGTTAAAAGACAAAAATATAAAGAACAACAGATGTAGTGATAACTTCTTGAAAAGTTCTTTCCTGGTGAGAGGGAGGAAATATCAGAGATATGACAGAGATGAAGCTATAAAATAGTAATTTAGGAAAACAGGTTGTCAAAATTTAGTACAACAAATAAGTAATTCACTGAAGTCATAGATGATGAATTTCAAGCAAGACTGGGTAGCCTGCTTCTCTGACTGGCAAATATTTCCATTTATTAATAAAAGAAAACTCTTGCTCAAATGTTCTTTTAAGACAGTTTTTTCTCCTGAGGCTAAGTTCCAGGAACTTGAAAGCACTCTCATCTGACCTGCTCGTGAATATATATATATAACAAAAGTAATTTTCCCTGAAACCTTAACAACCAGTATAGAAAAACCTGTGGGTCAAGGAGCACCTCCTCTCTCCCAGGGTATATTCAAAATTCCTCTTCTTCATGTTGTGATTATCCTTTCATGCAAGGGCTAAATTCTTCCCTTTTTGGCCTTTATTCTCCTCTTATGGATTTTGGGTTAGATTCCAGAATCTTGCTTCCGTCTCTCTAGTTCTTCCAATTTCTTGTCTTATGACAAGACCCTACTACAGTTTCTTCCACAACATTTTCTGGGTTAACTCAATTTTGAGCTAAAACCTTCATGCCATATATTCTTGTAGTACCAGTGAATAAAACTGAATAAGCACAAAAATGTTGAATCCCAATACACGTGGTCTTTTGTTATTATTTAACCTGGACTATTACTTTCCTGACAAAATAATTTAATGAGATCATCTTATAACAAACATTTATTGACAAACTATCTTATAGATTCTAAAATCAAACAATGTGTTACTTCAAGAATAGAAAGCATAATCCAAATCTCACCCCCACCAAAGCCTACTCCATAACTGAAGTACCCAAAACCTATGAACCATCTTGCTAAAAGAAAGGGGGGAAAGAGATGTTTACTAAACTTCCACAGGAAGACTGTATAAATCTGGCAATGGTGAAGTACAATCAGACCATGCTCACGAGTACTACCCAGTCTCAAATATTAACTGAAAATTTAAACWTAATATGCATTTCCTTCTTAGAAAGGCTCAGAAAATTATAATCTATTAAGTATGCAATGGTGCTAGTTACATTATGTAAAATGATATAATAAAAACAAAATAGTAGACAATTTGAATTTCCAAACCAATAAGTAAATTACTAACTGTAAACAAGAACTTTTAAAAGTCATTCTTTAGCTTCAATTTAAAACAAACATTCAGGACTGGAATCTTCAGAATTTTCTAGTATCTTGAATATCCCTGTCTTCTCTTTAATCGGTCCTGAGGCCTTCATTTGATCTAAAAGAAAAATATTGGAACAAATACTTTTTTGGGGGGATAAAAAAGGGTAGGAACCTGGAAAAAAAATCATAAATTTCCAATACAATTTTGTAAGAAGTGTATCATATGTCCAAATTGTAAAAACCCATGTGTGGGACACTCTCTTTTTTGACAATTAAGTGTTAAAGTAACAAAAAGAAAAAGGTATATTCTACAACAACTAAAATTACCTATAGGGAACAAGCATTATGAAGTCTGAATTCACTGGTTAAAATCTCTTCTGCTAAATTTAAGACATATACGTAGGGCAATAAACAGAACACCAATTTTAATTATGCTTTCAGAGATGTTTTAAAAAGAAGCCCAATCATGGTTAAGAGTTGAGAAGCAAGATATCATGAAAAACTTACCTTTATAAACATTCCAAATCACTGCAAATATGTAGTATCTATTTAGGTTCTTTTATGTCTTTAATATTAATGTATTAAAGTCTTTTTTCATTATAATAACTGAGCTTTGCATCTTAATTCCTTTCCAATCCTAAACTCATACCTTTTCCTAATTTTTTAAAGTTCTTTTAATATTAAGAATGGGGATGTAGTTTAGTGGCAGAACATTTGCTCAGCATCTACAAGCTTCTGGGATCGGTCCCCCATACTACAAATAAATAAATATTTTTAAAAATTTAAGTTTTGAGGGGGTGGGGTTGTGGCTAAATGGTAGAGCGCTTGCCTCATACATGTGAGGCAATAGGTTCAACCCTCAGCCTCACATAAGAATAAACAAACAAAATAAAGATATTGTGCCTATGTATAACTAAAAAATATTTCAAAACAAAAAACTTAAGTTTTAAGCCAGGCACAGTGGCATACACCTATAATCCCAGTGGCTCAGGAAGCTGGAGGTTGGAAAATTGCAAGTTTAAAATCATCCATTGCAAAAGTGAGGTGCTAAGCAACTTGGTGACACCCTGTCTCTAAATAATAAAAATAGGGCTAGGGGTATGGCTCAGAGGTTGAGCACCCCTGAGTTCAATCCCTGGTGCCCATCCCACCACCCAAAAATCAAGTTTTGAATATATACTTAGATTGGTAAYTTATCAAAAAATGTCCTAAATGCCAGGCATGGTGGCACACACCTGCAACTGTAACCCTAGAAACTTGGAAGTCTGAAGCAGGAGTATCAGAAATCCAAGCCAGCTTAGTAAGACTGTCTCAAAATAAAAAGGACTGGTGATATAGCTAAATGGCAGAGTGTGTTCAACTATGAGGTAAGGAGGATCCAGGTTTAGTTTTCCCTGTTTAATAATTATGCTGCATCATGTATTAACCAAAAGGAATTTTCCCTTTCTGGTTTGAAATGCCTTTTCTTTCACTCTTTTTCCAAAGTTTGGTTGTTTTTCTAGGGTCACTATACTATACCACTAATTCATCTGTCTTAATTGATTATAACATTTTAATAAGACAATACCTTGCGTAACCTTGCATAGAGTATCTCGTGCTTTCAAATTACCTTGGTTTTTGACCCTTTATTCTTATATATAAATTTTAATTAAAACTCATTATTCTTAAAAAGTGATAAGGATTTTGATTTCAATACTCCTATCCATTAAATCTATACACTTATTCATTCTTTATGTTAATAACCTTCAACAATTCATAATTTTGTCCATGGAGGTTAAATTTTTTTTAAGATTTTTGTATTTTTTAAATAATTTTTTATATCATTATTTATTCATTTATTTTTATGTGGTGCTGAGGATTGAACCTAGTGGCTCACACTTGTGAGGCAAGCACTCTACCACTGAGCTGCAGTCCCAGGCCAAGATTTTTATATTTAATTATAGGCTTTTTAACCAAATTTGTAGCTATGCATACTAAATAATTGTTGATGATACACAATTAATTATAAAGCAACCTTCTACTTAAAAGCTTCCAGATTCCCTTGAACTTTCTACGGAAGCAATCAGACCATCTGTAAATACAAGCAATCTGGATTCCAATTTATTATTCCTTTAGCCTATCAATATTTTCTGGTATTAGTTCTTAAGACCTCTTTCTACACTGTAAAAGTGAGAGCTTTTTATTCCTGATTTCTGTAGTAATCTAGATCAATGTTCTTTACCAGTTTAAGAACATCATGATTGAAAGGAAAAAACTTGGTAAATCTGGACTTCAACAAAAATATAAACTTTTGCTGTTCAAAAGACACTAATAAGCTACAAACAGCGAGAAAATATTCACAAAATAAATCTACTAAAGAACTTAGATCTGTAGTACATTTTTAAATTCTTTCAATTCAATGAGTCACAAAAAACCCAGTGGTATGCTGATAAATGTTCACAATTTCCAAACACTCTAGTTTGAAGTTTTTGCATATTTGTATGGCATATATATCTACYAATTTCAAAGTGTCAGCACAATATCAGAGTACAATTGGAAAAGGTGAACACCATGATAGGTATTTTATTTGAAATACAATAAAATACATAAAATGTATGATATCGCCACCATTCAAAAAATAAATACCAAGAGTTTGGATTTTAAATATCACCTTTGTTTTCAAAATAATTTATGGTCATCATTGTAGGTAGCAACTTATTCTAAGTGATGAATAAAAACGCAATTTATCCTATCTTTCCTTTATCTCAGTATAGGAAAGTTAGACAAATCCCAGCTAAATTAAAATGATAAAACAAGAAAATCATTATTTTGTAAAACCCCAAGGAAATAATGGTTCTAAGCAACCAACATGTTAAAAACCATGAAATTCCAGGCTTGGGTTGTGATTCAGTGGTACAGGACTTGCCTACATGTATGAGGCACTGGGTTCAATTCTCAGCACCACATATAAATAAATGAGTAAAATAAAGGTCCATCAGGGGATGGCGTTGTGGCTCAGTGGTACAGCGCACATCTACCACATGCGAGGTCCTGGGTTCGATCCCATGCACAACATAAATTTAAAAAATAAAGGTATTGTGTCCAACTACAACTAAAAAATATTTTTAAAATAAAATAAAGGTCCATCAACATCTAAAACAAAACAAACAAAAAAATTTTTTTAAACCATGAAGTTCAATAAAAGTTGACAAGAAAGTCTGAAGTATTCAGATCTGACWGAATGATCAATCTTAGCTCTCTACAAACCAGAAACCCACACATGCCCCTGATATAAAATAATAGCAAAGACATGGAACTTAAATATAATTAAGTATTAAGAACTATTTATCAGTTTAGTGAAAATATGCATATTGAGGAACAAGCTGACGCACATAAAAAAGGGAAGGAAAATCAGACATTTTAGGAATCCCAGGCCATTCTATAGAGCAAATAACCTAAGTTCTCCAATAAATCAATGGCAAAGAAAAACAAAATACAGGGATACTATAAAAGAAGAGACATAATTAGAACTGCAATTCAAAATGTTAAAAAAAAAAGCCCAAATGAGGAATTGTGAATGGATTTGGGGGTGGGAAGAGATGAAATTAAAATACTATTGCTAGGGCTGGAGTTGTGGATCAGTGATAGAGTGCTTGCCTCGCACTGGCGAGGCCCTGGGTTCCATACTTAGCACCACATAAAAATAAATAAATAAAATAAAAGGTATTGTGTACAACTACAACTAAAAAATAAATATTAAAAAAAAAAGTACTAGTGCTATTCTCTTAGATGTGTTAAATATTGGCTCTATTTAAAAACATGTTCTCAGAGGAAGATTCACAATAAACTACTTGTGGACAAAATATCATCATGTTTGACATAYGATTTTAAGTCTCTCTCCAACAAAAGAGAAATGTCAATGAAACAAGATTGGCTAAATGTTGCGAACTACTATAGCTGAATGCATTAATTGTTCAATAGATTCATGACGCTATTCTATTTATGTCTTTTAAAGTTTCCATAAAGACTAAAAGCATGAGAGATACATACCAATGAGATCACTTCGATCTAACAACAACTCAAGATCTTTATCACTAATGACCTTTTCTCTTGATCCTTTGACTTCCCTATAAAAACAAAATATTCCAGTATGTTTAAATAAATCAAAACTATGAGTAGTTTTTCTAAAATTAAAAGGCTTACCTTTCATAATCTCTAGATTTTAATAACTCCTTTAATTCCTTAGGATCTAAGAAATTCTTAGATTGATTTAATCCAGACTGACCACCTTTGAAATGATCTAGAAAAATAATTTAACAAATGCAACATATTAAAATTCCCTTTAAAATCCAATAAATTACAAACTATTCAGAATGGCTGCCATTTTATTTACTTTTTGTATTAGAGATTGAACCCAGAGGCACTTAACCACTGAGCTACCTTCCCAACCCTTTTTGAGACAGGGTTTCACTAAATTGCTTAGGGCCTCACTAAATTGCGGAGGCTGGCTTTGAACTTGCAATCCTCCTGCCTTAGCCTCTTGAGCCACTGGGATTATATTTTTAAAAGAACAAAAAACAACAAAACAAAACAAAAAAAAACCCTCTAATGTTGGTGAAAAGAAAAGCAACTGAAATTCTCAGACGTTGCTGGTAGAAGCATAATATGATATGTTCACTTAGGAGTTTAGCAGTTCCCAATAGACACACACATACCCTCCTCTCTCTCTCCCCCCCCCCTTTTTTGTGTGATGAGAGAGAGAGAATTTTTTAACATTTATTTTTTAGTTTTCGGCAGACACAGCATCTTTGTTTGTATGTGGTGCTGAGGATCGAACCCGGGCCGCATGCATGCCAGGCGAGCGCGCTACCGCTTGAGCCACATCCCCAGACCACATACCCTCCTCTCAAAAACAAGAACTAATAAATGTATCATGTCCACAAAAACTCATGCTTATTCAAATAGCTGGAATGTCCAGGAACAAAAGAATAGATAAGCTGGAATGGTGGTRCACACATGTAATCCCAGCAGCTTAAGAGGGAGCACCAACATCTGGGGAGCATGAGATAGGAAGATTGAAAGTTCAAGGCCAGCCTCAGCAATTTAGTGAGACTCTAAGCAACTTAGGGAGACTGGGTCAAAATAAAAAATAAAAAGGGTTATTGATGTAGCTCAGTGATTAAAGTGCCCCAGGGTTCAATCCTTGGTACCAAAAAAGAATGGATAAATAAACTATTCAGCAAGTAAAATCTTCCTAATACAAACAAAACAGATGAATATTAAAATGTTAATCAAAATTCACAGGAGAAAAACAGAATACACACATAAAAATAAACAGTTAAAGAACAAATTAATCTATATATGAATCAGAAAAGTAGTTGCTCAGTGGAATAAGCTCAGACATGCAAGGTGAATGACGGAGGAGGGTACCTAAGAAAGCTTTATTAGATGACGAAAATGTTCTAAATGTGGATGAGTTATATAAGTGTATACATTTGTCATAATTAAGCTGTACACTTAAGATCTGTGTATATTATACCTCCATAAAAAAGTGTCAAAGTTTTTTGTGGAAAATTAACCTTTTAAAATTCTGAAAGCAGGCAGGACCCAATGGTGAACACCTGGTTGGGAGGCTGAGGTGAGAAGATCGCTAGCCTCAGCAAAAGAGAGGCACTAAGCAACTCTAAATAAAACACAAAATAGGGCTGGGGATGTGGCTCAGTGGTTGAATGCCTGAGTTCAAACCCGAGTGACTTAAAAAAAAAAAAAAAATCTGAAAACAAATTTTGTGATCATTAACACTATTGATAAAATTTATCTAAATTTAAACGATATTCAATACTTAAATGGACTTTTTATATTACTCCCTCAATATACAAATACTATTCTAGTATTTAATATATTAAACTTGCAAGAAAAATTTCTGACAAGCAATTATCTTAATCAGAAACATGAAATAAAAATATCACAGCAAATTCCTCATTAGAGTTTAAGATATTGCACCTTAAAATTAACCCAGACCCTTCTCTTCCCATCTGTGCCACATCTAAACAATTGCTAAGGTTCTTTGTGTCTATCACTGCCAACTTAATGCAGGCTGTTAGCAACTCCACATCTCCCACTCTTGCTTTAAACCACGACTTATCAAGTTGCACCAATTTCTTTTATTATAAAGAAAATAACAATGAGGGCTGGGGTTGTGGCTCAGCGGTAAAGCACTCACTTAGCAAATGCGAGGCCCTGAGTTCGATTCTCAGCACCACATAAAAATAAATAAATAAAGGTATTGTGTCCAACTACAACTAAAAAATAAATATTAAAAAAATAAAAATAAAAAAATAACAATGAGGGCTAGGGTTGTGGCTCACTGGTAGAGCACTTGCCTACCAAGTATGAGGCACTGGCCTCAATCCTCAGCACCACATAAAAATAAATAAGTAGGTGCTTGCCTAGCACATGTGAGGCCCTGGGTTCCATCCTCAGCACCACATAAAAATAAAAAATAAATAAAATAAAGGTATAAGAAAACAAATTTTAAAATAAATAAGAGTAAAATAAATGTATTGTGTCCATCTACAACTAAAGATAATAGACAATAACAAAAGTTCATGATAGAAACACACACAGAGAAAACTGAACCAAAAAAAAAAAACTACAGTATCATTTACTTTTGTGAATGATCAACTTTTCCAGTTTTCGTTTAGCAGCTGCTCTTTCCACAATTTTCTGGTCAATAGTATTTGCTGTAACAAGGCGATATACAACAACTGGCTTTGTCTGACCAATTCTATGACATCGATCCTGGGCCTGAAGATCAGACTGGGGGTTCTTCAAATTAAAAGGAAAAAGTGAACAACATTGAACACTACTAGAATAAAATTAACTTTAACTCACAGTTAATGCATAAACTCATCATTCATGATCCAATGAGCAACTTTTATTAAACTTTTTGTGTTGCCTTAGCTCATTTTAGACTTACACAGTAACTTCTATAATGACAAACCATGAAAATGTTTAAAGACTCAAAAGAAAGCATTACAAGTTAATATATGCAGAAAAAATGATCAATACTCTTGACCTTAAAACAGACACTTCTCAAAGTAGATAAGTGAAATTATTATAATATATAAGGATGATTAAAAATTCAGATTAGAAATATCAACAGCATATTGCTATACCTTCAACTTACCCAATCACTATCATAAATGATAACTGTATCTGCTGCAGTCAAATTAATGCCCAGGCCACCAGCTCGTGTACTCACTAAGAAGATAAACACATCTGGATCTGTGTTGAAACTGTGCATCTAAAAGCAAAAAAGATGTAAACACAACAGCTTCAACCATTAGGACTGGGGATGGGATGAGCTGGGGATGTAGCTAAGTCTTAGTAGAATGCTTGCCTAGCATGTGTCAATTTGAGTTCAATCCCTCRTGAGGAAAGGAAGGAGAAAAGCAAAGAAAGAGCCATAATTTAGGCAGGAATGGTGTTGTATTCCTGTAATTCCAAGAACTTGGGAGGCTAAGCGAAGAGGATCACAAGTATGAGCCCAGCCTCAGTAACTTAGGGAGACCCTGTTATCAAAATAAAAAACGAATTTAAAAATGGGAAAGCTGGGATGTGACTCAGCGGTTAAACACCAGTGCATTCATACCTGGTACCCCCACCACCACCAAAAAAAAAAAAAAAGGACCAGGGATTGAGATATTTATTTCTTATACCACACAAAGGACTTTCCAAGAGAGGCCAAATCAGTCTTTCAGATTTTCAAAACAATTAGGTAAACTAATAAAAATCTCTCCTTGTGTTAACTTGATTTTTCAAATACCTATCTTACTAAGGAGATCTTAAATTTTTAAATTTTTGGTTGTAGATGGACACAATACCTCTATTTTGTTTATTTATTTATTTGTATGTGGTGCTGAGAATGGAACCTAGCACCTCATGCATGCCAGGCAAGCGCTCTACTACTTAGCCATGCCCTACCATCTTAATTTTTTAAAAATTTTTCACAGAAAAGTTTAAATAAAAATAACTAATGCAAAAACTGGTTAAAAAATTCAGTAACAGTTGCCTAAAAAAATCAAGTCGGTGAGAAGGGTAGATTAACCTGGAAGAGATAGAAACCTTTCTAGGCTAATGATAATGTTCTATGTATTAACAGGGTTTAGGACATGTTTATATGTATAAATGTAAAAATATATATATATACACACGTTTATATATACAATAATGAGAACCTGTCTTAAAAAATAAATAGGGTTGRGATGTGACTAAGTGGTTAAGTGTCCCTAGGTTCAATCCCTGAGTACTGCAAAAGTTATAATTGTATTATGTATGACATAAATAGTCTTACATTTTCCTCTCTCTCGGAATAAGACATGGACCCATCAAGCCTGCTAAAGTTGAAATTTCTAAGATGGCAGTAATCCATCAGAATGTCCAACATTCTTGTCATTTGTGAAAAAAGCAGCACCTGAAATTGAGATATACTTTAGTATGCATAGTGTCTATACTGCTTCATAAAAAATAATGAAACAATAAAAATTCCACACAAATTACCACCTTGTGACCTCTTTTTTTCAGTTCTGGCAACATTCGATCCAAAAYTAAGAATTTCCCAGAATTTGTTACTAATTCTTCATCAATCTTTAAAAAAAGGACAAAGAAGCAAAATGTCACTATAATTACTAATCTCTTGATTTATAAAAATTAAAAACATACAATTTCAGTGATAAACCATTATAAAACTTTTCAAAAAATTGACCTTATTATTATTTCTAAATCAGTAGTTACTTCAAGACACTCTAGAATGAAAACTCAGTGATCTCACACAAAAGTTCAAGTATAATCATGAACCTATCTGAGAACCACAGTCCCTCAAAGAATTTGTCAAACTCACTGTGTGTATGCTGAGGTTTATAACTGTGTAAAATATGGAGAAACATTGCTATTAGAATTCTCAGTAAAAATTAAGAAAACATGAGTGTAAAACCAATCTAACTATTGAGGTTAAATAAAACGTTTATCTTTTAGCAAATTTGCCTTCCACCATAAGGGGACATTCAGCAATTGCTAAACGAGGAAAATGGACCTACTGGCTACCAAAGGCCAAAGATGCTAATAAACGTGGACAGTGCACAGGACTTTACCTCCTAAATAAAAATTATCTGGCTCAAAATGTCAATACTGCCAGGGTTGAGAAACCCTGCTATTAATTAGTATGAAATCCTTTGTCACTAAAAAYAATTTAACACTATGGTATTTTTTTTTAATCAACTGCAATTTCATTCACTTAATCTGAAAGTCCCCAACTATTATCAACTTTTTGGTTTTCTTCTGTAGCTATTTGTGACTCATAATTAATAAGCAGCAGATTTTGACAAGCTAAATATTAACTAAAAGGAATACTGAAAAAATGACAACTATCTCTAAGAGAGCAAAAATAGAAATTGACTACTTTACAAAATTCAGAATAATTCCTAGCTGTTCATATAGCTGTAAGGAAATAAGTTGGACTGTACACAAAAAGACCATCATTCCAACCCTCCTTAAGTTCTCTAAACTTGGGGTGGGGTGGAGTGGGGGTGGTGGAAGACTCAGTTTATGGATTATAATCTTGATGATACACAACACAGTATTTTAAAAAATAAACCAAACAAAATAATACTTTAACCCAATGTTAAAGGTACAAATTATCAAACAGTATTCACCTTAAACTCTTGTGTAACAGGATCTATAGGATATTCAATCAGATATGGATGATTACAGCATTTACGAAGTAGCATCATTATATTCTGCAGCTTCAGATTAACTTCAGATTCTATAGGGCTATTCACTTCCACCACAGTTCTATCAAAAACATTAATGTGTACATATAAGAAATACAAAACACATCACAGTTTGAAGAATACTTAAAAGTTATTTTAAACTCACACCTTTCTCTGTCCACCTCTGGCTGTATTTGACTGATCAGTTTTTCCAATTCATTAGGAAAGTTATCTATCTTGCTGTAATTTATTGATTTTCTAGTTCGCCGTTTTGGTCGTCCAGTAGGACTTAGTTCAACTGTTTCTTTCTAAAAAAGAACAAATTAAAATACCCATTTATAAAGCTAGACAATGAAGTCCTACCTATAAGTGAAGAATAATATTTTTATGTACAAACTGACTTTTAAGACTTAAATAAATACTAATTTTCTCTTTCAGCAATTTTGAAGACAGCAAATTTCAGCAATTTTAGGGATCAAACCCACGGACGCTRAGTCATATCCACAGTCTCTAACCCCCTTCTTTTGAGATAGGATCTAAGTTGCTGAGGCTTGCCTTGAACTTGTAATCCTCCTGCCTCAGTCTCCTGCATTGCTGGGATTAGGACATATGCCACCATGCTGGCTCTTTCATCAACTTTTAGTAATACCCAAAGGCACAATTACCTCACAGCCATGATCTATACTGAAATACAAATGTGTAAAATTTGTTTTATCACTGAAAACAACATTTGAAAGTGAGAGTATCTTTATTGCTCAGTAGAAAAAAATAAAGGATATGTAAGACATTAGAATTTATGAGTTTCCTGATTTCATTACATGATAATCGCATCCCATCTCCACTTCTTAGGAACTGCGCATGTGGAGAAAAACGGTACAGATGGCAAGCCTTCAGTGTTTATCAAATAACAGTGAGGGTTTTTTTTCGTTTGTTTGTTTTTGCTTTTGTTTTGGTACTGGCAATTGAAGCTCAGGAGAGCACTTTATCACTGAGCTGCACCCCTATCCCTTTTTAATTTTTGAGACAGAATCTCACTAAATTTCTGAGGTTGGCCTCAAACTTAGAACCCTCCTGCCTCAGCTCCCCAAGTTGCTGGGATCAGGGGTATATAGCCCCACACCCAGCTGTGTACTTGCATTAAATGCATTTCTAAATCCATTCCCAGACAGCAATAATTAAGGTTAATCTGACATAGGAATTTAAAATTTTGTTAACAAGCATTTCAGATGATCACAGAGCAGGAAATGCAGAGACCAACTAAATTTCAGGATTATTTATACTAGAAAAAAAAACTTCTGCTTCTGGTCTTATGCCTAATACTTCAGTTACAAATTCATAACAACAAATCCCGAGAACAGGTGAAGAGCCATAAGACTGACATAACTGTGAAGTTTTATTATCATGTTACATTCACAGTATATTTCAAGCACACACTATACCTCACTGGTTCCAAACATATTTGCAATTGTACGATTCACAATTGCTGTGTAAAAGACTTCTTGTTTCTTCGAAAGCGGTGCATAAACAATTACTTCTCGTTTAGGAGGAACTTCAAGAGCAACATCAGATTTTAGTCTTCTTAGTAAAAAAGGAGTCAGAATCTAAAATTTCAACATAAACAAATAAATATAATATTTTTTCAAATAACATCCCCACAAACTACTTATCCTTCTTTCTCCTATGCCACTATAAACACAATCAATTCTTGAAATGTGAAATTAAAATGTCATCCTTGAAATTTCCCATATCAGACTAGCATATTATAAATTCATAAAATCTCTAAGACTATATCTTAATAATTTAAAGAGAAGAAATTTTTTAAAGATGTATTTAACAACTTGGGAGGCAGAGAGGAATATTCCAAGTTCAAGGTCAACCTTGGCAATTTAGGAAGATCTTGTCTCAAAAAGTAAAAAAATATATAAAAAAGGCGTGGGATATAACTCAGTGGTAGGGTAGCCCTGGGTTCAATCTCCAGTACCCAGGGTAAGGATAAGGAGTAATATTTTACTTAGATTTTCAATATAGTCCGCAAATTTCAGAGTGAGGTTTTAGGCCAATAGAAAGCCAACCCAACTAAGAACATAAACATGAAAAATTGTGTGTGTGTGTATGTGTCTACATATATTTTTTCCATGTTGCCCAGGCTTACTTCAAACTCCTAACCTTCCTGTGTCAGCCTCCTGAGCAGCTAGGAATTTAAGTGAACACCATAACACATGGTAAATTTCTCCTTAAACTCTAAAACTTCAGGGTTAAAATTACTCTCCTTTATTACAAATGATTATCATATTTATAAATAGAACACAGAAATAATTATGCCATTATTAATTTTTGTCATTTAAAATATAAACATTTGTTTAAACTTATCTGAAGTTACTAATCCAGAAACAAATACACATCAGGGAGAAAATACAAATGTTCCATAAACATGCTGAAAGATGTTCCTATCTTCAAAGAGAACATGATAATAATGAGATATATTTTTCCACCAATGCACTTATATTTAAAAGTTCAATGTTATCTAGAAATGGCAAATATGTGGAAGAGGCATTCATACACTGTTCCAAAACATTTATATGGCTTATTTATATATGTATTTGTCAGCATACAAGTATTAAAATAGAAGCAAGACTATGCTAGTTATACTTGGGCAAGAGAAAAAGATGTGCAGGGGAAACAGGAGAAAATTTTTACTTTTCATTGTCCAGATTTCTATACTATTCAAAAACTTTTTACCATATATTATTTTTAAGTAAGTGAATCTTTAAATGTGATGCTGTTTTGGGTCTCTAATGTGGGAAGGAACTAGGAAAAAAAAACAGAGTTTTACACAGAAAGTTAAAAAAATTATATTTTTCAAGATACTATAACTTTGTGACACGTACATCCACATGCACAGTTCAATTTTTTAAAAAGTATACTGAGGCCAGACATGGTGGTGCATGTCTGTAATCCCAGAGGCTCAGGCAGGAGAATCATGAATTCAAAGCCAACCTCAGCAACTTAGCGAGACCTGAGAAACTCAGTGAGACCCTGTCTCTAAATAAAAAATATAAAAAAGGGCCAGGGATGTGGTTCAGCAGTTAAGCGACCCTGGGTTCAATCCCTGGTATGAAAAAACAAAAGTATACGGAGTAGGATACAAATCTTAAGTCAACAATACTAGATATACTAGGATTATATTTCCTCAAATGAGATGAAATTTTTTAAGATTAATGATGAAAAGGTCAGCTAAATACACATTTTAAGAATGAAGAATAAAGATTACAGATGCAAATAATAATTGTTTTTTTATTATAGATGGACAGCATACTTTTATTTATTTTTATGTGGTGCTGAGAATCAAACCCAGTGCCTCACACATGCTAGGCAAACACTCTGCCACTGAGCTACAGCCCTAGCCCCTGTAAATGGCAATTCTAAAAATAAGCAAATTGTAAGAGTTTCAATGTTTAAAAGTTTTGATTTACGAAAAATTAAGTATAACACTGTAAGAATGATGGCGTTTAATTTTGAGATATTATCTCAATAGCTTATAGCAAAAGAATATGAAAAACACAAATATATCCAGCATCTTTCATATAATTAAATCCAAAATGCAATGTAGACTCAGATTCAGGATGTGAGTTTTGCTTTACATTTTGTACACTAATACTTTGAAAATATCTCTAAGTAGATATCTTAAAGGCTAAGCAAGTATAGCAAGTCAGTGAGACATGAAAGCATATGAAAACATTTCAAATTCTTTCTTATAGAATTTATAGAATATACTGAAACACCAAGGAATTTAAAGTTTGAGTAAGAAATATACAAGACATTCAAAACTATCTCCAACTAATCTGACTTTACGTTTAATAAAGACTTTCCCCCAGGTAATTCATTTAAACAAAATTAGGAGCAAAGCATGAGTTACCATAAGACAAATTTAAACAGTGTTACACAGAATTTTCTTAGCACTGTGGCTCTGAAAAATGCCATGACTCTTGATATATTATTGAATTCAGAGATGGGTATATTAAATTCACTATCATAATCTTTATACTCAAGTAAACTTGAAGTTCTTTCCCATAAAAATAGCRATTCCAGTATCCCTCCTTGTAAAACATTAACTAAAAAATATTAAATCAGATGGCCATTTCTCACGAATATCTTTAAAAGGACTATTGCATTGGGAAGACTTTTCACCTAGATTCCTCTAAGACCCACTCTTAAGTGCCAAATTCTACAAATTTTAACTAACTTAACTTTATAATTAAGTTTCCTAAGAAACCTAATATCAAAGCCTTACTTTGCTATCCTATTTGCTACATCAAGCCAAAACACATCTGTTCCTTTATAAGCTATATTCCCTTCAATGTTTCACACACTAGGACACTTTACCCAAAAGTATCCRTAACAGCTATTAGCACACCAAAATCTTAAAAACCTCACGAAAACACTATACACTAAAAACACCATAAAAGGCCGAGTTCATTGGCATAAGCCTGTAATCCCAGCAGCTTGGGAGGTTGAGAAAGGAGGACCAAAAGTTCAAAGCCAGCCTCAGCAAGAGAGGCAATAAGCAACTCAGTGAGACCTTGTCTCTAACTAAAATACAAAATAGGTCTAAGGACGTGGCTCAGTGGTTGAGTGCCCTTGAGTTCAATCACTGGTACCAAAACCAAAAGGACACCATAAAAAAATGTGTACACACACACACACACAAAATCCAAAAAAGAAAAGAGATACACATGGTATATAAATTCTTTCTGAAGGGCAATTTTCCAACATGTCAAAAGCCTTAATATATACACCTTCCCAGCAATACTACTTGGAACTCAGGAAATAAGCCAAAATAAACAAGATATAAGTATAGGTACTTGTTTATAATAGAGAAAAATGCTGAAATAATAAAAGGTAGATACAATTAATTGTAAAGAAACAGGATAATGTGATAATAAGCCGTAATTAAAATGTGATGAGAGGGGCTGGGGTTGTGGCTCAGTGGTAGAGCACTTGCCTAATATGCGTGAGGCCCTGAGTTCAATTCTCAGCTCCGTACATAAAATAAATTTCTCACTGACAACTAAAAACCTGTTTAAAAAAWTTTTTTTTTCCAGGGCTGGGGATGTGGCTCAAGCGGTAGCGCGCTCGCCTGGCATGCGTGCCGCCCGGGTTCGATCCTCAGCATCACATACAAAGATGTTATGCCGCCGAGAACTAAAAAATAAATATTTAAAAAATTCTCTTTAAAAAAAAAAAAAAAATTTCCCAATGGGAAAAGAAGAGAAAACAATCTGATGGGTTAAGTCTACATGTAGTGACAGAAAAAAAAAATTGTAAAAAAAATAGTAAATTGATAATTTTATTAAAAAAAAAAAACCCTATCTCACAAATAAGCTTTTTAGGGCCACATTACTAGACCTTTAAAAGATCATATTAATCTAAAGATAAATAGTATAGAAGGAGAATGGTAGAGGGTAAGGAGGACAGGAGGGAAGAGAGGGAAGGAAAGCTTGGGAAATAGGGTAGAATGGATGAAATATTAAATGCAGATAACAGTGAGAAAAATTATTAAAACACAGGCAGCACCAGCCTGTAATCCTAGCAACTAAGGAGGTTGAGGTAGGAAGATGGAAAATTTGAGGACAGCCTCAGCAACTGAGTAAGACCCTATGATATGATAAAAAGGCAGCTAAGCATGGTGACACATACCTGTAATCCAAGCTACTCAGGAGGCTGAGGCAAGTGGATCACAAGTTCTAGGCTAGCATGGGCAAATTGGTAAATCCCTGTCTCAAAATAAGAAGGAAAAAAAAGTGTGCGGGATGGGCTGGGGACACAACCCTGGAGGTGTTACCCAGTGGTAGAGAACTTGTCTGGAACGTGGGAGCCCCTGGGTTCAATTCTCAGTACCAAGTTTTTAAAAGGGCAAAATTTAATTAAGCACTTGAATTGTGCCATAAAATTTCCCTCTGGGAGTAGGGAAACGGCCAGGAAATCGAATTTGGGAAGATTCATTTTTCTAGTGTCCACTTCCAAGACTTATTCTATGAGTATATACTAAGCAGAATAAGAAAATAGTCAACACCTGGTGCAGCATATGCAATACATTTTGCTCTCTTTCTTTGGCTATAATGTCTTCAGCAGTTTCAGAAAGACTAGTGATGTCAAACCAAGACTCAAAGCTGGAAAAAAAAAAAAAAGATCATAAATTAACTTATCAGGATTCAATTATATTAACACATGCTTTACAATTTTATATTAATTTGCATATATCAAGCATGGATATTTGTGCACCAACCTCTTAGATGCAATTTTTTAATGTAAAGAATACATTCCAACAACAAAGAGGAAGTGATTATATTTTTTCAACCAACAATCAAGAACTGTGATTTGGTAGGAGGCCCGGAGTTCAATCCCAGTACTGAAGGAAAAAAAAAAAAATGCTTGCCTAGCAATGTGAAGCCCTGGGTTTTATTCCCAGCATCACAAAAATAATTAATTAATTTAATTAAGAGCTATGATTTGGGGCTGGGGATGTGGCTCAAGTGGTAGCATGCTCGCTCGCCTAGCATGTGTGGGGCTGCTAGGTTGGATCCTCAACACCACATAAAAATAAAATATGTAGCTTCCCCATGATAATATAAGTCAGTTTTTTTCACCTCATTCTGTTGTATTTCCATCTAAAATATTTTTGTCATCTTGTCTCCTCTTCCACTGAGTATACTTTTTCCAAAAACTTTTTATCTGTCTTATGACTTAAGCTAAATTCAAACAATTTCTAAAATAAAACTGCTAGGTTGAAATCAGGAAATTGGTCTGGGGTTGTGGCTCAGTGTCAGAGCACTTGCCTAGCATGTGTGAGGTACTGGGTTCAATTCTCAGCACCATTTATCAATAAGTAAAATAAAGCTTCATTGACAACTAAAAAAAAAAATACTTAAAAAAAACCAGGAAACCTTTGTTTTAATATTCACTCTGGTGCTAAACATGTTATATGCTAATAACAACTTTATGCCTAGACTTTCTTATATGAGAGACAAGGAATATATTTAACCTCTTTATCTCCATGGATTGTTTTGTAAAGATAAAAACAAAACAAAACAAGATCTTATTATAAAAATATTTGTGTAAGATAGTATTTTTAGTTTTTCTTTAATCGATACAAGTAAGGTTTTTTGTTTTGTTTTGTTCTGTTTTATAGTGCTTGGGGAAAAAACCAGAGCCTCACATGTGCTGGGCAAGTATAATACCACTAAGCTACCTCACCAGTCCAATGCAAATTTCAGTTTTAAATCATCTTTTATCTGCTTTCACATACTTTGTGTCAAAACAGAACACACTTTGAAATACACCACAAAAAAAATATATCACAAAGAACCTGACAAAATAATCATTTAAATTCAGCTACCTAGAACAAAGGAAATAATTTCAGCTAAGAGAACAGATTTTTGAGATTTGAAAAAAAAACAGAAAACAGTTAAATAACTGGCTTACCTACCTTTTCAAGTCATCAAATACATCTGGCAACAAAAAGTTTAGCAATGACCAAAGTTCTGATAAATTGTTTTGTAAGGGAGTACCAGTCAAAAGAAGTTTGTTATCAGCATTGAACCGTTTTAACTCCCTGATTAGACGGCATTTCATATTCTTAATCCTGTGTCCTTCATCTACTATTAAGTATTTCCAATAACAATGCTAGAAAATGAATTGAGAAAAAAATTTAAAATAATTATCGTACAGTTCTTCCTAAAAACAATTCTAAAAATATAACTTTTCTTAGGACTGGTTGTTTTATTTTTATTAAATATTATATTTGTATTTATTGAAATAATCATGTTTTCCTTTGATCCAGTAATGGAACAAATTAATAGATTACTAAAACCAATGTCATTCTAATCCTAGAACAGATTTCACTAGATATAAAATAATACTTAAGTCCACCTGCTAGTCCTCATTCACTTTCTAGTCAAAGTAATCTGTATCTTTTCTAATGTTTTACCAAGTTCTGCTGTTGGATTCCTAAAAACTACTATATTCCTAAAAAATTATCAAAACCTTTCATTAGTTCCACATGGTCAGAAATGTTAAACAGCATTATAATGTTCAGTCTGGAGGCCTATATCTGAAATTAATATTCTTTTTAATTGGAMAATGTTCTCAATGTTTCTAAGTTATTGATTTGCTCCTTTCTTCTGAAGTCAATTTTAGCAATTTATATTATCAAAGATATATATTTGTTTTCATAAAGCTGTCATTAAAATTAATTTCTCATTTTTAATATCTAATAACTTAAGTTTATCTAATTTATTGTAAAAAAAAATAGAAATATTAAATATTTCTGGAAATATAAATACATCAAACTCAAATGTTAAGTATCTTTAAAAAAATGAGACTGGCAAATTGGGGATAGAGTATGAAATAAGGATCTTTTACATTGAACTTTATACAATACAGTCCTAACAGAATAAAAAAATTACACTATTATTACTCTTTAAATAAAATCACTTGAAAGGGACTTATTCTCCTAGCAAATTTTTGGCAATCCTTAATTTTCTCTCACTATAAGACACCTATCTGAAACTGCCATATAAAATAAAACACCCTTTATAAATGAGTAAGTGAAAAACGAAGGAAACAAATGTTAAGGAACATGGAAAACAAATTAGTCAGGTCTGAAACTTCTCCTGTCACACACCAAACAGGAGCCTTAGAACACCACTCCCATTTGAAATTGACAAGGAAACTTAACTATTTCAATATGGGCTGGATGGGGAGAGGAAATTAATTAGATAGAATTTCAGGTACTCTTTATCTTTTCATATTCTACTTCTTTTACAAGTAGTTAACTTTTACTGTGAAAAAATAGTTATGATACGTTTTATTGCTGCAAATATTCATAAACTTTGTTAAACTTGTTAGCTAAGACTTCTGCAAATCACATTCCAAAGTTCCACCCACACATATAATATCTGACACATACTGGTCATTGATTATGGAAGCCATTATGCTCCATCATTACTTAAATTACTTTCTTTATTTCACACAAGAAAAACTTAAAAAGACTTCACTCAGCAAGAACATTACATGATCAGGGAAAAAGCAAAACAACAAAGGATCATGTATGAAATAACTGAAGTAGCAAGTAATTTTCTAACTGCATTGTGATAATATGAATATTAATAAGTGAGTAGCTATGATATCAAGAGATACAGAGATGGAAATGTTACTGACACTCCCATAAAAAAACTTTGTCTTCAAATATTCTATTCTTATTTGATTAAAACAAGTTGGATTGATAAATTCACATACTCAAAAGCACGTGCTACTGGGGGGCTAGGGTTGTGGCTCAGTGGTAGAGCACTTGCCTAGCAGGCGTGAGGTGATGGGTTCTATCCCTGGCATCATATATATAAAAAAAATAACAAAAAAGCTTCCTTAAAAAAAAGAAAAAGTACATGTTACAAACATATCTGTAGTATATTCAGATTATGTATGACTAACACAAAGTGATAATTATGGCCAAAGTTTAAAATACTATAAGATTTAATTTTGCTAAGAAATACCACACTTTATCCCAATCTTTAATATGAGCCTCCAGAACAATACCCTCGATTAATTTCACCCAAAAAAATTTAAACAAATGCCACTGAATGGTAAGTGGTATGAATTAAACAGTTACAGATCATAAAGAAACCAGTGAAGACCACCTGTACCTGTAATGCATTTCGGTCTCTCATGGCTATTTCAAATGATGTAATTACCACAGGATGAATCTGCAGTGTTCCATTCCTTTTGTGAATATTCCTTACCAATTTTTGACGTTCTTCCTGAGTTCCATGATATAACATTGTCGGAATCTAAAAGATTTTATATCAATTTGGAACAAAATTTAAGTATTAATTATTTGAAAAGCATGAAATATAAATAGACAAAATAAAGGTATTGTGTCCATCTACAACTAAAAAAGAAATTTAAAAAAAAGGGGGAAAAACATATTCTTCTCATAAGGTAAGAATGTGAATAAAACAATTTATATGTGGCAAATGCCAGATAAGAACAAACAGAATTTTTTAAAAGTTCTACCTAGGTCTATATAAGGGGGATCAAATCATGCAATCTAGAGAACTCTTTACAGGTACATTTTAGGCAAGATGTCTAAGATTGCCAGTACCAACTCTTCAGTATAAACTTTTAAGAATGACACTGCTCAGATTAAAAAAGTCAAAWCAAATGCAATGCTTACACAGAAACCAGTATTATTGTAGGAGCTCTATAATTCCTGCAATAATACATGTGAAATAATATATTTAATATAAAGGAACATGTCTTACTTCTGGTGTAAACCTTTTGAATTCGGCCATCCAGTTAGGAAGTGTAGACAAAGGGCCACAAACAAGAAAAGGTCCAGGCACTCCTCTCTGAATCATCAATGCAATTGTAGCAATGCACTGAACTGTCTTTCCGAGGCCCATTTCATCTGCTAAAATGCCATTAATTCCATTTTCCCAAAGCATCTAGACAAAAGAATATACACTGAATTTAAATTGTGATAAAAACATCCACTGAATTATGAAAGGTTTATTTCTTTTGTACAAGCATACTCAATGGCAATTATGATGTGACTGACATATTAATGCCATAAATTATAATAACACTTGTGGGATGACTTTTATCAAAGCCATTATAAAGTGCCAGAATTCTAACTATATATATTAAAAATGACAATTTGGGCTGGGGCTGTACCTCAGTGGCAGAGTGCTTGCCTAGCATGTGTGAGGCACTGGGTTGGATCCTCAGCACCACATAATAAATAAAACAAAGGAATTCTGTCATCTACAACTACAAAAAAAATTTAACAGCAACAACAACAAAAAAGACAACTCATTACCCTAAGCCATTCCATGCCTTCTACTTGGTACCATCGCATCACTCCTCCTGTGAAGTACTTTGGTTGTTGAAAGGGCACTGGCTGTCCATTACATTTCCGAACTGGGTCAAAAAAGAATTTAGCATTCTGCCTAACTGTCTGAGACAATCTATCTTTAATCATACTATTTGAATCTTTATTTTTCTGAAGATCTTCTACACAGAGATTAGCAGAGGAGGAACTTTCATCCTGCAAAGAAAAAAAAGTTTAATTATAAGTCTGACTCAAAACGCTACTATATTCCTCACCTCATGTATCCAAAAAACATTATCAAAATGTACCGCTTACYATACTCATTAGGTAAGAAGAACGAAGATCATTGGTTAAGTGCCCTTGGGTTCAATCCCAGGTACAAAAAAAGGGGAAAAGTCTTAGAAATGATGCTGAAACAACTGTATATTTAAATGGAAAAATATTAAACTCAAATGTCATTATTCCACACAAATCTATTTGTGATAAAATCACAGGTATAAATATAAAATGAAAAGAATTATCTTGATAACCTTGTGACAGTTATACATCCCTTGAACAAGACAAAGATGGAACAACAAAAAGAAAAGATAAATCCAACTATTACAAAAACTATCATCAGTAATTAGGAAAACAAGTTAAAAACACAAGGTATCATTTCAGATGCACAGAATGGTTAAAATAAAAAATGACTGACAACATCAAATGCTGGCAATAATGTGAAGTAGAATTCCCCAATATTGCTGTCCAAAGAGTAAAATGTATGTTTGTCTATATATAAGAATTGTGGGATGGGCTGGGGATGTGGCTCAAGCAGTAGCGCGCTCGCCTGGCATGCGTGCGACCCGGGTTCGATTCTCAGCACCACATACCAACAAAGATGTTGTGTCCACCGAAAACTAAAAAATAAATATTAAAAAAAAGAATTGTGGGGCTTAATTGTAGCTCAGTGGTAGAACACTTGCCTAGCACATGTAAGGCATTGGGTTTGATCCTCAGCACCACAAAAAATAAAATAAAGGTACTATGTCCATCTACAACTAAAAACTATATATTAAAAAGCTTGGGACTGGGGTTGTGGCTCAGCCATACAGAGCTTGCCTAGCACGTGTGAAGCCCTGGTTAGATCCTCAGCATCACATAAAAATAAATAAAATAAAGGTATTATGTCCAACTACAATTAAAAAATAAATATATAAAAAAAAAAAAACAACTTAAGAGAGGAGCTAGGGCTCAGTGGTAGTGCACTTGTCCAGATCACAAGTTCAAAACCAGCCTCAGCAACATACCAATACCCAAAGCAATTTAGTGAGATCCTTTCTCAAAATAAAAAGGGATGTGGGTGTTGCTCAGTGGTAAAGTGCCAATGGGTGCAATCCTTGGTACCAAAAATTAAATAAAGTATCTCTCATTTCATAATCATGAATTTTTCTATTAATCTGAAGTATAAATTAATCACTAGAAGTTTATATCCATTAGTAAATATTTTCATGTTAATTATTTTGCTTCTGCTTCCCTATGCAAACATGTAACTATTAGGGCTTAAGTTAGGGAATACTCAAGATTAAAAAGGAACCTCATGGGGCTGGGGTTGTGGCTCAAGTGGTAGCGTGCTGGCCTGGCATGCGTGAGGCACTGGGTTCGATCCTCAGCACCACATAAAAATAAAGATATTGTGTCCACCTAAAACAAAACGATAGTGGCAGATAGGTGGGATATAGGAACAGAAATCTAGCCTTCCCAAACAGAACTAGAGAAAATCATTAAGGTCAGAAACAAGATAAAGGCATCCCCCACAGCTTCTACCTGATGACCCACCTATATATCCACATATTTATAGGTACCTGTATCATTGCTAGATTCAAAAGTTTAAGGCATTATTATTACTAGATGCATTCATTGATACTAATACATCAAAGAACATGTTATGAACACCTGAAGTTGAAATGTAAGAAAGAATGTTAAGATAAAAAAAAAAAAGTAAATGGATTTTTTTTTAAAGCAGAGAAATGGAATGAATGTTGAGAAAAATCTCCAGTGGTGACTAAAAGAAAAGGGGATGAGCCAGGCATGGTGGTGCATGCCCATAATCCCAACAACTCAGGAGGCTGAAGCAGGAGAATCACAAGTTCAAGGCCAGTCTCAGCAACTTAGCAAGGCCCTCAGCTACTTGGCAAAACACTGTCTCAAGACAAAATTAATTTTTTTTATGGACACCTTACCTCTTTCTCCTTTTTATTTTTTTTAGCCACAGACAGAATTTCCTAGAAGATTGAAAAACCAAAAATAAATTAGTAATATTTGCACATTTATTCATTTATTTATTGAAGCAACATTTATTTTGTGCTAATCTTATCCAGATAAGGCACTCAAGGTAATTTACTAAAACAGAGAATCTCAAACTGGTGATCATAAGGCAGAATTAAGCCATTTTTTTGGCTCAGAACTCTCATAATATTCAAAATTGTCAACACTTTAATTTTTTTTTCTTTTAACAAAGAGACTAAGTACAATTTCACACACATCAACTATCGTCTATTCAGCAAAYGACAACCTATAGACCAACTCTACCTGGCAGCCAATTACTGTAAATACAGTTTAGAAGAGCTTGATGTGGCAGGGCACACCTATAATCCCAGCTACTGGGGAAACCAAGGAGGAGGATCACAAGTTTGCCAACTTAGCAAGACTCTGCCTCAAAGAAAATGAAAAAGAATAAAGACTGGGCATATGGATTAGAAGTAAAGCACCCCTGGTGCCGCAATACCTCTCAAGGGGCTTTACAAAAATTTTTTTTAGATGAAACAAAGTTAGACTCATTTGTTTAGAGTATATCTATGGCTGTTTTCAGGAAATACTAGCAAGAGTTCAGATTTCAGCAGTTACCCACAAAACCATTCAAAACTTWAAAATATTATCTTACTATTTACACAAAGTTTGTCCAATCCTACTCCAATCTACTTTGGGCATTTCTGTGGATAGATATCTGAGTTTACAAGACTAGTTAAAAATCAAAGATGAATACTCTAAAAATACAGAATAAACTTCTAGTTTTGAATGACAGTCATGTACTATCAACCAGACAATACATTATGGCCACCTGGTGACCTAACAGAGCATTGTTATACCAAATTATTTTAAAAAGTTGTCATGAGGCTTAATGATTAAAGTACATTTCAAGCAGAAAAGTATGAGAAAAATATGTACCAAAGACACAGGGAATTAAATACTTTCAAGAAACTTTAAGCAAATATCAAATTTAAGATGCACAGGAGAACGACAGAATGTCAGTAAGTGGCAGACACACATGTATACATGTATATATGTGTGTCATATACGCATATAAAGTATGATGCAATTTAAGTACAGATATTTCTACTACAAGGTTGCAAGGATTTAATATAGTTAACTGAAAGAAGTGTTGTCCTTTAAATAAACAGATTTTTAGAGAGTAATCCGGGAAAAAATCAAAACATAAACACCATTTACGATGTATTCTTATCGTAAATCAAACTTTTTGACCTATCAGTTCACAGGAAATACAAGGGATACAGAAATTATGAGGATGCAATAAGCAAAAATCCAGAAATTGGAAATCATACAGAATACTTTTTAATCTCAAATTTAAAAAACATTAAAAAATAAAAAAGAATTAGCTGGGGATGTAGCTCAGAGGTAGAGCACTTGCCTACATGTACAAGGTCATCGGCTCAATTTCCACTACAGGTAAACTAATAAGCAAAAACAAAAAAGTAATTTGCAATTGAAAAAAGCCAACAGAGCTGGTGCAGTGGAGGACACCCAAAATCCTAGCTGCTTGGGAGGCTGAGACATGAGAATGGCAAGTTCAAAGCCAGCCTCAGGAACTTAACAAGACCCTGTCTACAAATAAAAAAATAAAAGGGAAAGGAGGGCTGGGGATGTGGCTCAAGCGGTAACGCGCATGCAAGCGCGGGGCGCTGGGTTCGATCCTCAGCACCACATAAAAATAAAGATGTTGTGTCCTCCGAAAACTAAAAAATAAATATTAAAAATTCTCTCCTCTCTTTAAAAAAAAAGGGGGGGGGCAAGGGATGTGACCCAGTAGTTAAGCATCCCTAGGCTCAATCCCCAGAACAAATTTTAAARAAAAGCCAAGTAGCCAGGCATAGTGACAGTGACACATGCCTCTAATCCCAGTTAGGAGGCTGAAACAGGAGGATCCCAAGTTCAAGGCCAGCCTGGGCCACTAAGCTAGATCTGCTCAAAATAAACAAAGAAGAACAGTGGATACAGCTCAGTGGTAGCTGAGTTTACATATCCTATGTTTAGTGTTGATTTTAAAATACTATAAATATTAACCAACTTCTTTACATAAACACCTGAAAGCAATGGAATATTTAAAACAAATGGAAAAGCTAAATAATAGTAATTCTTACAGCATTAAAGTGGTTCAAAATCTATAACAGGTTTTACTCAACATCAAATATTGTTTATTCCCCCCTTTTATTTTTACCTCTTTTGTCATGACCTCTGAAATATTATATGATTCTTCTTCTCTTCCTCTTTTCTTTTTCATGGCTATAAAAAAAATCATTTTACTTTATTTTATAAGAATTAAAACAAAAACAAACCCACATTCTTCCAAACTAGAATAAGGAAATTTACCTGCATTCTCTCCACTTCCACCAACTAAATTTTTTCCCTATAAAACAAGGATTTAGAATATTACTTTTACTTAAGGTCATTTATGGTATTACATATTAAATGGCAATAACTAACTTGAGAGAAATGGTTCTTGCAGTTGAACCTCATATAAGTAAATAAGTGACAAAGGTATTGCATCCATCTCTAACTTAAAAAAAAATGAAGAACAGATTGACAATGTTTCTATACAACTTGTAACAAATGTAGGTGGTTAACAAAGTTATAATTACATAGATGTTCAAAGAAGTCAAGAAGACAAAAGAATTTCTTCAATATTTAAGATAATATGTAAAAACTAGTTGGACACAGTGGCAAATGACTATACTCCCAGCAACTAAAGAGGCTAAGATAGGAGGAGCTCAAGTTTGAGGCCTCAGCAACTTGGCAAGAAAAAGCTAGGGATGTGGCTCAGAGGTAAAATGCCACTAGGTTTCATTCTCTAGTATGTATCTCTGTATGTATGAATGTATACATTCTGAGGGCTAGAGGTATAATTCAATGGCAGTGTGTGCTTATTAGCATATGTAAAGCCCTAGGTTCAAACCTGAGCACTTAAAAAAAAAAAAATCTGGCTTGCCTTATTACCTTTGCAACTTTTAAAGATTCCTTTTTTCTCTCCAATTTTTCTTTCTTCTTCTGTTCCTGTAAGATAATTTCTTCTTAATATCACAGATGGGAAATGCAATATAGGAAACATTCATCTCCAACTCTCAAATAACTTGTTTACAATTAAAAAAAACTATAATAATTAAAAAAACAGAAAATTTTGTGCTTTTAAGACTTATTGGAATAACAAGAAACAGATTTACCCTACTGCCATGAACAACTAAAATCCAGATAAAATTTATTATGCAACAGTTTTCAAAAGAAGAGTGAACACTAAGAAAAGGAAAACAAATGAGGTGAACTTTCTGACTGCCTTATTTACTACCTGAAAGCAAGCAATTTCCAAAAGCAAAATAACAAAGGGAAAATACAAATAGAACCCAAGTCTAAGTTGAAACAATTCAAAACAGATACGCTAGCATTTCCAGAATCAAGTATCAGAGAGGGCAGAGCTGCACTAAGCTATGTCTCTCTTGAAGTCTTCAGACTTACTACTGTTAAGTGCATGAATTTAAGGAAACCAAAGCCAGGAAAACAGCTACCAGAAAGAAGTAGGTAGAACAATCTTGCTCTCTGTCTGACAAGGGGTCAAGAATAAGGAAGAGTTTGCTTTTGTTCAGGCAAAGTAGAAAGTCCTAAAATATAAGCATCAAATAGAGTATTCAGAAGGGAAATAAATCTATTTCTATACTAAAAGCTGTTCCAGATGTACCTTAAATTTAAAAGACCATCTCCAAGAGTTGGTTAAACTGTATTTGTCTTATAAGTCATTAAGGTACTTGGTTTTGTGGGGTTTTTGTGTGTTGTGTTTTATCTTATCATATCAAGATTTTAAAAGGGTTTCAGACAAACAAAAAAGAATTTTACAAATAAAACAAAAATCTCAACTGGTGTTAAATGTGGATAATGGGGACATGGGATTTACTGTATCCTCTAATGTGTTTAAGTTCTGACATCCTACATTTTTGTGGGAAGACAAATACAATATACCTATCACATGATAAGTGCAATGCAAAGAACACAAGAAGGTAAAGGAAATCGAGAGTCAGTAACTAGATTGTCTGGCCTCACAGCAATAAGGCCCTGAGTTCAATCCCCAGCACCATTAAAAAAAAAAAAAAGAAAGAAAGAAAAAGATTGGGAAGAGTCTCATTGAGAAAACATTAAAGACAAGTTGATGAAGATGAAGTAAGACAAGCAATCTATGGGAAAAGGGTTTCATGCAGAAAATGCCAATGGAAAGACTCAAAGGCAAGAAGAAACACATTTGGAAGAAGGTCTAAAAGGTAATGGGGTTGAGGCAAAAGTCAAATTGCTTACAGTTTTATACTTTATATAAGAAACAAAAAGCTAGGCAGCAATGAACAAAATATCTTTAAAATACTTCAAGAAAAAATAACACTAAAGAAAAAACAGCTGAACTCCATGGAGCACACCTGTGATCTCAATGGCTAGAGAGGCTGAAACTGAAGGATCTCGAGTCCAAAGCCAATCAGCAAAAGTGAGGTGCTAAACAACTCAGTGAAACACTGTCTCTAAATAAAATACAAAATAGGGCTGGGGCCACTCAGTGGTTGAATACCCCAGATTTCAATCATCAGTGTCCAAAAAGAAAAAAAAAATTCTTTACCCAGTAAGGATGTCTTTTAAAAACCAAGACTTGGGGTGCTGGGGTTGTGGCTTACTGGCAGAGCACTTGCCTGCCATGCATGAAGCACTGAGCACCACATATAAATAAAAAAATAAAAAATAAATAAAGGTACATCAACATTAAAACACATTAAAAAAAAAAAAAAGACTTGGGGCTAGGGATATATATAGCTCACTTGGTAGAGTGCTTGCCTTGAATGCACAAGGCCCCTGGTTCAATCTCCAGCACCAGAAAACACACACACACACACACACACACACACACACACACACACAACACACACACACACACACACAAAAAAAAAACAAGACTTTCAGACAGATAAAAACTAAAATAAAATATCACCAACAGAAAGTGCACATGAATCTATATTAGAAATCAGATCAGTGAATATTTGAGGGTGCAAGATGAGGGGGGACACAACTATGAGGATACTACTAATGGTGTCAATCTGTAAATCCAGCTACTTGGAGATTAAGACAGAAGGATCACAAATATGAGATTGGGCAACTTAGTGAGACCCCCATCACAAAATAAAAAATAAAAGGGCTGAGGAGATATCTCAGAGGTAGATTATCCCTGGGTTCAGTCCCCAAAATTGCAAGTAGGGATATAGCTCAGTGGTACAATACATGCCTAGTATAGTCAAGACCCTGGGTTCAATCCCCAGTAACACAGGGAAAAAAAAATATGGTATATTAAAAATAAAATGCTGGGACTGAGGAAGTAGCTCAATGGTAGAACACTTGCCTAGCATGTGAAAGAGGTCTTGGGTTCCACAACACTGCAACTTGGGGGGGGGGGGRGAGACAGGACCACAGACTTATAAAACACATCATGAATAAATCTTAAAAGTATGCTAAGCAGAGGAGGGGGAAAAAAGGGTACACACCTATAAGAATGTTGATTGGGAAAAAAAACCCAGCCAATTTCTTCCACACTTTCATCCAACAATCAACAAGACTTCTTCGAACAAATGTGTGGGTTTTTATTTCTACACACCAAGTAATCAATTATTCTGCAACTGCTGAATATCCTTTAATTCAATTCTGATGCTCTTTGCCTAGAGATTGTATCAGATCCCCAGAGTTGCAGGCTTAGTCCCTAAGACTGCTCCCCTTCCTATATCTCAAGTCCCAGGTTGTTTGACCTCACTACAGATTCCCATAATCCCTTCCCTAGGCTCAATTAACTGGCTACAGAAGCTCACAGAACTCAGGGAAACATTTACTTTACTGAAGCTTACTAATTTATTATAAAAAATATTACAAAAGATAGGGATGAGATCTGATAGAGAGATAGATAAGAAAATGACCAAGAAGAGGCCCAGAGTTTTTATACCCTCTCAAGGGACACTACCTTCAAAGAATCTCCATGTGTTCCTATCCTTTTGGGGTTTTATGAAAGATTCATTATGTAAATATAAATGATTAAATCCCTGACCACTGGCAAACAATTTAAGCTTTAGCTTTGTACCCTCCAGGAGGTAAATTCAAAGTCCCAACTCTCTGGTCTTTCTGGTGTCCAGCCCCCATTAAGAAGCTACCTACAGAGGCCAAGCCCTCAATTAACTAATTAGCATGTAAAAAGACACATTACTTTGGAAATTCCAAGGATTTTAGGAGCTGAACACTAGGAAACAGGAATGAAAGGAAATATAGGTATCACGTATCACAAAACCATTCCATTTATATAACATTCTAGAAAAGCATTACTAACCTATAGTGACAGAAAGCAAACTGGTGATTCATAGGATTCACTGATGTCACAAAAGATTTTTGTGGAATCAAAATGTACATTTTTTTTAAATATATACATTTTTAGGTTGTTGATGGACCTTTATTTATTTATTTGTTTATTTATATGCATGCAGTGCTGAGATTGGAACCCAGTGCCTCATGCATGCCAGGCAAGTGTACTACCACCCCAGCCCCAGCCCCAACCCCAACTCCAACATTATATCTTGTTTGGTCAAAGTTTGTCAAACCATAAATTTGTGATCTATACATTTTAATGTATGATTTATAAATCAATAAAAGCTATTTTAACAATCTTAAAGCTGCTGGCTAAAAATTATATATACATACCTCTAACTGCTGCTGCTCCATTTTAGTCAACAAGAATTTGGAGTAGATATTACTTTTTTCAAGCAAATGTTGAAGTCTACGGTAGCGAATTTCTGTGGACTCTCTGTCCCACGACATGCGAGCCTATCCAAAGAGAAAATTTCCATATTTACCAAATTTTACTAACTTTTTTTTTTGCATAAGGTTTAATACAGGCTACATAAACACTGTGTTTAAGAAATTTCCTGAAAGTAATGGGGAAATAAAAGATTCTCACAAAATTTATTAGAAGCAGCTTGTTTTTCAAACTAAAAACTAAAAAAAGATTCTTAGATTCAACAATTTGATAGATAAAGATTAGATATCAAAATATTAAAATTTCAGATAATAGACGCAGGATTTCTGACATGTACCAAGTTGAAGGCCCATTGAAAAAATATTTGAAAGTTAGAAAATAAGCAAGTAATTCAAGTTGGATTTAAGTTTTTGGATTTTTTTGAGATGGGATCTTGTACTTGTACTTCTGACTTGGCCTTGCATAGTTCAGTGGTATGTTAACTTCTGTAAAGATAGTAAATACTTTAGTATTTGAGCACCACATGGTCTCTACTACAAATATACTCAACTCTGCACTTGTAACATAAAAGGAGTCATAGGTAATATTTTAAACAAAAGGGCACTTGTTGTTTCCTAGTAAAACTCAGCTAGTTTATCAACAAAGACACTGAAGCAGCTTCAAAAAAATTACATAAAGCTACTGGGCAGAACACAGTAAATCTGATTTATACTATAGGTGAGATGACATCACTTAAAAGATATATTGCTTAGTACTACACTATTAGATAGAAATCATGAAAAATTCAAACTACTAAAAATAAGACAGGCCAACTTTCAGGAAAACAGATGACATCTGAATTATCTGAAGGATAGATACATGAAAGCAGAACTCAAGAATTTCACCAACTACAGTAGAAGTTCTTGCAATTTAGCGATACTAGCCTTAGCAACTGCACTAAGAATTATACTTAAGTAACTTTACAATTAAAGGGACTTCAGGTTTGGTATTACACACCTCTAATCTTATAGTCTAAAAAAACTCTTGACAAAGTTATTTACTGTCTAATGGAAAATTTTTAACACTGTTTTTTCAACTAAACCAAGTCACCTACTGTTCAATTGGTATGAATGACAAAACAAACAAACAAATAAAAAGCCAACTGAAAAAAACCCTAACTACGCTCTTTCCCCATAACTGGTGGTTTTTACAGCAGCCCAGAGTTTAAAACTGGTTTGAAATAGGTAAGGGGCTGAGAGTATAGTTCAGAGGAAGAGGCTTGCCTAGCATATGCCTCATCCTGGGTTCTATCCCCAGCACTGCAAAATAAATGAACAAACAAATAAATAAAAATAAAAATAATTGGGCCTGGGGTTATGGCTCAGTGGTAGCTTGCCTAGCATGCATGAGGCACTGGGTTCAATCCTCAGCACCACATAACTGTAATATACAGATATTGTGTCCACCTAAAACTTAAGAATAAATTTCTTTAGAAAATAAATAAATAATAAAAGTAATTGGGGAGGGAGTTAGTTATAAGTTCATTTTAAAATTCTAATTCATACTCCAGTACCTTGCATATTACACCTGAGTGGTTTGTGCTACTCTAGCCTGTGATTTCTAAAACATTATTGTATATTATTGGCTTCTATTTTGCTAGACATTATGTCATCACTCTAGGAAGGCACAGTGGAGCATGCCTGTAATCCGGCAACTCAAGAGACTGAGACAAGAATATCCAAGGTCAAGTCAGACTCAGCCACTTAGGGAAAAACATGATCTCAAAATAAAAAGGGCTGGGGATGTGGCTCAGTAATTAAAGGCCCTTGGGTTCAATCCCCAGTATCCCACCCCCACAAAAAAATGTGTGTAGGTGCATCATCTCTATAGTTTTCTTTCAAAATAAATTTCCATTATAAAACCAATGGCAATAATAAGATACCTAAGAAGATAATAATATTCATTACAGTAAAGTCAAAAAATACACAAATAAGTTACCCATCTACACAGATAATCCCTATTAACATCTTCTCAAACTCTATTTTCAGTCTTTTAAGGATAGCACTTCTTGTGCAACTACCAATATACTACTGCAACTATAATCAGCAGTCAACGAGTGAGAGAATATTATGAACAGGAGAAGATGAAAATTACTCAGATGTCACAAATGGATTTTTTAAATTTGACTAAAATATTTTGAGTTTAGATACAGCTACCTTAAATCTTGTCAGAATAAATTAGCATGTAAAAATTAATTAAAGCTTTCAGATGTCATTATGGAAAAACAATATAACTAAACCACACCAATGGTTAATCCTTAAGCCCAATCTTCAATATTTCAAATTCTTCCCATCATTTCTTCTTGATTTAGCAATTTCATTACTTGCTATACCACAGTAAGTTGCAGCTCCATCCGTGGAAAGAATTGAGCGTCTACGAGGAAGCATTTCTTGTCTTGGCAATTAGAACACAATATGGCAATGGACGATGAGAGTAAAAATTCCCCACTTTCTACACCATTAATCTCTTCCAACACCAATCTCAGTTTTTTGGAAAATGAAGTTCTATTTTAGCCTACACATAATATGAGCCATTTTCCTTTTACCTCTTCAAGAAATGTCCCAGTCTACCTCCTCCCACCCACTTTAAAGGCAACAAAGCTACCCTTAAGTCTCCCAGACTAACAATGACTTCTTTTAAAAGGAAATGCAGGTAAAAAAAATCAAAGAAATTAACTGTGGTATGTGAATGTCAAAGCCATTCTCCGGGTTTTTTACAAACTTACAATCTCCTAAAGCTAAGTAAATGCCCCTCATTAAGAAATTCAAGATCTGGCTTCCTCTCTTTTAAGTACTTCTAAAATATGCCCATAAACAACAGTTCTCCCTCCAAAGACAAAAACTGTAACATATATGAGTTTTCTGGTCTCCAAAGGTTTTTTAACCTCAAATAGGGAAAAAACTTTGAAAATCATTCTACAAATTTTCTAGTCACGAGGCAATAATTTTTTACAATGTTCAATTACAAAATCTTTCCACGCCTTTGAGAAAATTATATATTTGTATTATTAAGATTAAAAAGACTTTTAAAAATTTTTTTTTGGTTGTAGATGGACACCATGCCTTTATTTATTTATTTATTTATTTTGGTGTTAAGAATCTAACCCGGTGCCTCGCATGTGCTAAGCTCTACCACTGGGCCATAACCCCAGCCAGAGTTACAGGCTTTTTTTAATGAAAACATTAAATGTTAATTTAAAAAAATTACTCTCTAGTTTCTATGATGAATTGTTGTTAAAAGAAGAGCTATGCCAGATATCTGGTGCACATTTGCAATCCCAGCCAATAGGGAGACTGAGGCAGGATGATGTTGAATTGGAGGGCAGCCTCAGCAACTCAGGGAGGTCCTATCTTAAAAAGAGGCTGGAAGCCTGGAGCAGTGGCCAGGCTTGTAATCCCAGCAGCTCAGGAGGGTGAGACAGGAGGATTTCCAATCAAAGCCAGCTTCAGCAAAAGAGAGGCGCTGAGCTGAGCTACTTTTGAGACCCTGTCTCTAAATAAAACACAAAATAGGGCTGGAGATATGACTCAGTGGTTGAGTGGCGCCTCCCCAGTTCAATGGACCCTGTGCTTTCACTGAAAAGGTGTACCACATTTTTATCTAAAATATCAACAAAAAGCCAGTTGACTATTTAGATGGAAAAAAGCCCTAGCCTAAGAAGAAATTCTTAAGATTTAGATTCTAGCCCAGGTTTTGATAGATGCTAACTTGTACTACCTTCTATTAAGTACAACAACAGGTTTTTACAGATTAATGCTTGCCATCAGGTATACCACAGAGGTACTCATTCAAAAAGGAAATAAGAATTTCGAAGGAAAGCATTCCCGCTTCATTTTGAAAGAATTATAATGGTCCAGCGAGCCATCTAAAATGATCACTCAAGAGAGAGAGGGGACCATTCCACGGCTGTTTCAAGACTGCCTCTCACGGAAAGAAGCCTATCCCTCAAGGCACGTGCAAAGATTTCGCAAGGCCCGTGTCAACATAACAAACGTGAAACACCAAAGCTGTTTTGAGGTTTGTGGAGAACGCCAGCTCAACAATGAAGGGGAGAACTCCAACCACACCTCGGGGGACGCCTCCAGTTCCCAAGGCTTTAAAGGTCATAAACTCCATTCCCGGATTACCTTCTCCATCATCTTKCGCTCCCTCTCCAGTCCCGCAGCCTCGAGCTGCGTCTCCTCCTCCAGCATGGCTGGGGTAATCACAGCAGTCTCCTCCTGTTCAACCATTCCGGGAACCGGGGGCCCTAGCAGGAGAAAGGCTTTTCCATGATCATCTTTATTTAAAGTTATCAACGACTCGACCCGGACCTGAAACTTCCTCCGAAGCAGAAGCTGAAGCTGAAGACCCACCGCGACGCCAGCATCCCAGGTCTTCTCGTCGACCCCCAATTCGTCGGACCCCAGTCTACACCCCGGGATGCTCGGGAAAGTGCAGCTCCCTGCTGCGAAAATCTCCCACACCACGCAAATGTGTGCGACTCCGGAGTGACCTCCGGTCACCTCTCCACAGCTTCTCGTCCCTCTTTCCCCCTCAGCCCCTGCCCGGGGTAGGCTCCCTCCCCCAAGCTCCGCCGCAGCCTCCATGCTGCCCACCCCCGCTCCGAATGCTGCCCGGAGGAAGATTCTCGTCACTCACCGCCGCTGCTCGCGGGCTGCTCCGCCGGCATGGCTCTGGACGCTCTCGGGGAACCCCGCGCTCGCCTCTCAGCGCCAGCTAAGCCAAGCGCTAATCCCCCACAGCAACTGCAGACCCAGCCTTCTCGCCCAACACCCAGCCAGGGAAAAACGCGCGCTTCTCCTTCGCGGGAAAACTCTATTGTCTCGCGATACTTCGGTCTCACCGCCTACTCCTGGCCGGGGCTGCGCGAGATTTGGCGCAGTTGGGGTTTTCCTGAGGGGAGATTGGCGACCCCGGGTGGGCGTTTGCGGGCACGACTACCCAGAGGAAAGGAGGGTCTGCTGACTTCCGTTTTTAACCACCTCTGAGGTGTGGGGAAGTCTACTGACTGTGGAGAGCCCGGTTGCCTCCTGCCTTTGGCGAGGATTCGAGCTGCTCGGTGGTTTTAGTGGCGCTCTTAACAGTTGGAGAGGCGCCTTGGCTCCCTTGCCAATGTGAATGAATACCCGCCAACCCGTAGCCTTTAGGGAGAAGGATGTCAAACAAATATTGCAAACCTCGCCCGCCACACCTAGAGCGTAGATCACATTTGGGTGAAAATCCTCTGAAAATATCCAAGAGGCGGGGTTTTGTGGGTGGAGATAGRCAATTAATCAGGGTTCAAGAAATTTGTGTAGGCTATGGGAAAGCTGAAGCAGTGGAACAAACCGCAGAAAAGAGTTACAACTAGAGCAGTCCTCAGAGTTCATGCCCAGACTTTCTGTTAGACCAGGAGGCAWGAAAAGACCACTGACTCCAATTAAAATCAAATTAAAGCAAGCTTATTATTTCGACCAGCCRGGCTGCCTCTCCCTCCCCAAACCGTGGGAACAAGACAGCAGCAGCTGCTTTCCTGMAGCCCAGCWTTATAGYCCAAAAAGTTTCACAAAAGGGGGGTTACAGATAACAGAACTCTGAGGAGCATCACATGAATGGTAGTTTACATTTTTTTTGCCTGCCCCAACATCAGAATTTATGAGGACCATTAGAGCCTCAGAGAGGGTCCTTGTCTGGCCAGGGAAGGCCAAGATTTGTGAGGYGTCRCTAAGGTTTCAGAGAGGGCTGCTATCTGTCAGAGAGCCAGGCATGGGTGAGTTCAAGGCATGGGCAGGCATTCCAAGCAGGTTCGGAATTTGCAGTAATTTATAGTAAAGCCGAAATTAGCTTTTCGTGGCTTTGTGGCGTGATGGCTCCCAATTTTAAGAAAAGATCAGGTTGGGTCTATCACTTTCTTGTCACAAACTTAAGCTTTCATTCCACCTTGTCTGCAATCCTTTGGACCTTCCCTCCCCTCCCAATTTCTCAGAATCTAGAGTATGCTTGTAGGGAACCACTTGTTTCTTTCATTTCTGACTCCACCTACTTTAATGAATGTGTACAATAATTTAAGAGTTTACAATGCATGACCATAAGAACCATATTTAGCACCTCATGACAATGCTAAAACTAGCAAAGCAGATTCCTCTATTCCTACATCAGGTGAGACAACTGATGCTGGAGGGGATAACTTTCTGTGCAGAAGCCTACAATTGCGCTGATAAAACAGAAGTCCAATCCAAGCCTTTTGACTCTTAGTGCAATATTTTCTCAAGTGAAAACGTAGGCTTTGTTGCCACAAGCTGTAGCGCACGCCTGTAGCACTTAGGCTAAGTTCAAAGCCACCCTCAGCAATTTAGGAAGACCCTGCCTCAAAATGAAAAGGGCCAGTGTTGTAGCTCAGTGGTAAATCATCCCTGGGTTCAATCCCTGGTACCAAAAAATAACAAAACATAGCTTCTGTTAATAGATAACTTTTTTTTCTTTTTGTGATATTGGGGCTTGAACTTGAGGGCGCTGTATCACTGAACTACACCCCCAGCCTTTTTTAAATTTCTTTTGAGACTGAGTCTCACTAAGTTGCCCAGTGTGGCCTCGAATACTTTTTTTAAAATAAAATTTAAAAATACTGAAATAAAATTTATTTCCATGTGCTCCCTCTTCTTCTCTCTCTCAAAATATGGAATTTTCTTCAAGTTTTATATGCTTTTTCCCCCCACATTTTTATTGGTGCATTGTAGTTGCACATAAGTTGTCATGTATTCATACATGAATACAGTATAGCTATAATTTGGCCAATATCATTTCCTGACACTTCCCCCACCTCCCTCAACCCCAAATATTCAATCCACCTGCCTCAGTTAGCCTCCTAAGTTATTGGAATTATAGGCATGCACTGTCAGCTCAGCCCTGTTTGATTTTTTTTTTTTGGGGGGGGCATGGCTGGTGCAGGGTGTTACTGGAGATTGAATCCAGAGGCACTGTACCACTAGAGTCACATCCCCAACCCTTTTTTCTTTTTTAATTTTGAGATAGGGTGTCGCTAAGTTGCTTTGGGACTAGCTAAGTTGTTGAGGCTGGCTTTCAACTTTTGTTCCTCCTGCCTCAGCCTCCCAAGAGTACTGGGCATGCACCACCAAACCTGATATTTGAAACACTGATTTTTATGAGGTTTTTRAAAATATTTCCTTCTTTTAAACTCAATTTTGTCCCACTTTCCAAAATCTTTTCTCCATATGTTGCTTTTCTCTATATACTTTGTTCTTGCATCAGCATCTGCTCTGTAGCATAAGCTCAGCTTTCCTTCTAATTCCTCAGCAAGTGGGGAATTGTCCAACCACAGGAGATAGAGCTGAGAACAAATGCATTTGATTTTCAAAAGACAGATATCTCCCCTGGCCCCATACTTGTTAATAAAAGGGCACTGGGCATCTCCTAACACAAATTTGTYCCTCATTCACTCAGGAAGGTTTTGTTCATCCACTCTCAAGGGCTTAGTTCAGATGCTTCCAGGATACCTAGAAATGTTAATAGTAGGTATACAACAACAAGAACTAGATAAAACAAATCTCTGCAGATATGGAACTTAACATTTCAAGATTTAAGGCCAGGCACAGTGGCACATGCCTATAATTCAGTGAGGTGGGGGGAGTCAAAAGGACCACAGATTGGAGGCCAGCCTGGGTAACTTAGTTAGACCCTGTCTCAAAATTTTAAAAATGGATTGGGGATGTAACTCAGTGATAAAGCACTCCTGGGTTCAATCCCCAGTACTGCAAAAAAGAAAAAAGAAAAGAAAWATATTGGGGGCAATACTCTGCAACATATTAGAATAGAGTGAGAATAAATGAGTGGTTATTTTAGATTGGGTCACTAAAGAGTGAACCAACCAGTCAGGGGAAGAAAATTCAAGCAGTAACTAGSTAGTCAAAGAATCTAAGGCAGGAATAAGACTGGGCATGTTCAAGTATGAGAGAAGGCCAGTATGGGGCTGGGGATGTGGCTCAAGCGGTAGCGCGCTCGCCTGGCATGCCTGCGGCCCGGGTTCGATCCTCAGCACCACATACCAACAAAGATGTTGTGTCCGCCGAAAACTAAAAAATAAATATTAAAAATTCTCTCTCTCTCACTCTCTCTCCTCTCTCACTCTCTCTTTAAAAAAAAAAAAAAAGAGAGAGAAGGCCAGTATGACTGAATTAGAGTTGGCAAGAGGAAGTGACACAAAAGGTCAGATCAGTCATTGAGATTTTTCTTCTGATTCAAGTCATTATTTTTTTTTCTGCCCACACAAAAATGTCTTCTTATAAGATCCTTTTCATATGAATGGTTTCATCATCCTCCCAATCATAGAAATCAAAACAAAACCAAATTACCCTTCTTCTTGCTTACATATTAGATGACCCACCTTCCTGCCTCACAAAATAAACAACAGCTTCAAGACAGAATTCCCTCAGCTTTCCAACACCAAACTATAAATATAGCATCTGTGTACCTTTTCCACTTTCCCTCATGTTGTATTCCAGATCCAACTCCCTACAGCCCATTTCAGGATTCTTAAATTACATAGTATTTCATTCTTTGGTTCTTAAACCTCTACTGAATCTTCTCCATTAGTATTCAAATACTTCTTTCCCATTWAAAAAAAAAAAACTAATATCTGCTCTCTCTTTCCTTTGTAGCTTTAGAATTATCTATACTGGCATTCTTTAATTTCTTGCCCCGCTCTGATTCTTGTACCATCTCACTGGTTGCTACAACTCAACACACACCAAAGTAGCACACACTAAGGTAATCAATGACTTACATCTCTGTTGTGAAATCTATTGTATATCAGTTATTAGCTCAATCTTATTGCGTGTGAGTTCTTTAAATTTTTTTTAAACCAATACATAAAAATTGTACGTTTATAGGGCACCACGGATGTTTTGTGGTTTTTATTTTATTTTTTTAGTTGTAGTGGGATGTAATATATTCACTTTATTTATTTTTTTATTTATTTTTATGTGGTGCTGAGAATCGAACCCAGGGCCTCGCATGTGCTAGGCGAGCACTCTATAGCTGAACCACAACCCCAACCCATCACTGATGTTTTGATACATCTACATATTATGTACTGTTCAAATCAGGGTGAAATCCCAATTATCACTTCTTTATGGTAAAATGAGGTAGGACAGAAAAAAGTTAAAMACTAGTAGAAAAGAGAAGGGAAAGGAAACTATTAAAACTTTTGAAAGCCTCGTTTTTTGTTTCTCATACTTTTGTCCCAAGCCAGTTTTTCTCCTAAGTCTGTCACTCCCAAATTTCTGGGAAATTGGGGCTGGGGTTGTGGCTCAGTGGTAGAGCACTCACCTAGCATGTGCAACGCCCTGGGTTCGATCCTCAGCACCACATAAAAATAAATGAAAGGTATTGTGTCCAACTACAACTAAAAAATAAATATTAAAAAAAAACTTCTGGGAAATGTATAAATCTTCATTCACAATCTTAAAGTTATGGGAAATTCACCCATTTATGACAATTGCCTTGTGCATTGTAAATTAGCCCACTAATACCTGCATTTTTAGAATGAATTAAGAAAAGGGAAATATAAAACCAATAACATAGGATACTTTATCAATGTTCTCTATTAATCACATAATGAAAAGGACACCTACCTAAGGATTCTTAGAACTGCCAAACTGCCATAAATTGTCTTGTGGTCATTGGACTGATGTGACCTCCACATACTTCCCTATATATACCCCTCACAAGTTTTCCTTT